ACTAATACCAAAAGTGCAATAGCTGAACAGCCTATAACAATACAAAGCCAACCAAACAACATCATATGCAAAGTTTCAGTTCGATGGAATAGACGAAAGGCATACATATTAAATCATCAAGAGCTAATTCTAATAACTAGGAAAAAATTAATTCCAATCGTAATATGGATTGCCGGCCACGAATTCTGGGCTGGAAGAAGAATCAAAATAAACAGATTTGAAAAATCGGTTTGGATAATCAAACCCCAGAAACCTCTTGCAGTTCTAAATCAGTAGAAAAGACCTAGCCTTTAAAACCCAACAAATCAATACCATTACTTTAGACACCAGCAGGACCGGTTCTCAGATCCCAAATGAAATACAGAAAACCCATCAACCCAATTAAAATTACACTACTTAATCACTGCCTAAATCGTAAATTTCCATTAGCCCTAACTAGAAACCCTGGCAAGCAGAATCACACTATTTAAGCAAATACCTTTATTTGCTTGCCCTGAGAAACCAGAAGACGCAACAGAATAGAGGATGATGAGGCGTTGTCACAGACGGATGAGGTGGCGTTATCGCGGACGGCGAGGAGGCGGCGGTATCACGGACGGCGCGGAGGAGGCGTAGTTGCAGATCGAGCGGAGGAATAGCGAGGACTCTAATGTACAATAACACATATAAAAAATAAAAAAAAAAAAAAAAAAAAAAAAAATCATACTATGACGTAGGATAAGTACTAGAGTCAGGAAATCATAATAATGTGGTTCAAATTAACTTTTAGCGAAAATCAAATTTAAAACCTCTCAATTACAAGTAAACAAGAATACAACTAGACCGTAATACTAAGTAGCTAGTAAAGAATACCTTTATGCTTATATATAGTTAGATAGCCGAACTCCAAAATTTAAATTGGAATGATAAGTCAACAACGTATATAAAGCTAAAATCCTTTCTCTCGTGTATGTATATGAAAAATCAAAGATCTCTGAAAATAGGACCTTTGATGTCATGCTAAACAACCACTAATCTCAAAAAACTTCACAAATCATGAATCAAATATCAAGATGAGCTATAACCACAAGATCAAAACTTTGATATCATATTAGACAATTACGAAACTCAAAAAACAGAACACATATACCATGAATCAAATACTTCTATGATCTCTATTAGGGCTGGGCAAACGGGTCCTGGACCCGCGGGTAGGGGCGGGTAATGCGGGTACGGGGCGGGTACGGGGCGGGTACAGATATTGTAAATTCAAAAGGGGGCGGGGCGGGGCGGGTACAGAAATGGGAAAATACGGGCCCCCGGCCCGGACCGTTGATTCCTACCTTGATTTCCTACGTTGATTTCCTACCATTGATTTCACCTTCTCTCTCTCTCTCTCTCTCTCTCTCTCTCTCTCTTATTCTTGTCCGAGACTCCCAAGACTCTCATTCTCAGACTCACTTCCTCAACTTTCCATTCTCTCGATCTCTCCTCCCTCGATCTCTCCTCCTTGAATCTCCTTCAACCTTCCAACATGCAAAATCTCCTTGAATCTCCTTTATCGCCGCCACCATCATCATCAGACCTCGATCTAGGGTTTACACTGAGGCTTCGCCGTCGATGAGCTAGGGTACCGCGAGGTGGGCCTGAGAACTAGGGTTTACACTGAGGCGGTGTCGGCGATGCTTGAATCCGACGGCAATTGATCCATTTATCTCTCAATTTGTCTGATTCGTTCTGTCAGAGTCCTCTCGAGTCCTCTCAATCAGACGGTAATTGATCCATTTCTCTCTCCTAATCCCAACTTGATGTCTCTGTCTCCCGACTCCGGTCGTCGAAGATGGCGTCGACGATGACATGAGGCTCCAGAATCCAGATCGGAGATGCTCCGAGGGACCTGAGGGATAGTAGAGATAGAAGATGGACGATGATGGCACGACGACGATAGCGAGCTCGTCGATGATGGTGGGCTCCAGATCGACGAAGATGACGCGACAACCACCACCCACCACCACTATCGCCGGCGCGACAACCACCACTATCGAGGACAGTATCATCCTTGCGAGTTCTGGGTTATGTTCTGTTTTTTTTTTTTTCCTGTTTATATGTTGATTGTTGTTTCTTTTCAATTTTGATGTTTTGATCATTGTTTGGTGGTTGGTTTTGTCTGTGTGCATGATTAAAGGGGTTTGATTTGTTGTTTTTGCATCTGGGCTTTCATTTATTGCTTGTTGTGCAGCTGTGCTGCTTGTTCTCGTATGTGGTGGGGAAGACGACCTCAACGAGGTCGTCCCTTCTATGGCTAAAAGAAAAAATGGGTACCCGTGGACCCGTCCGAATCGGCCCGTTTTAACCGGGCCGGGTAATGTCCGGTTCCTATACAAGAAAATCCAATCCCCGCCCCGTCCCGGCCCGTTTCGTTTAAGCTCCGGTTCCTACAAACTTAGGTTCGGCCCGGCTCGCCCCGGCCCGTGCCCAGCCCTAATCTCTATAACTACAAAACCATGCGAGAAAGAAATAAGTTAACCACTCATCTTATTAGAATATATAGTCTTTATAAATTAGATTATATCTCTTTGTTCTTGGAGACTATTGACTTTATGGACCAAGTCACGCAAGAAGTTCCATATGGCATCGTGTGGTGTGTAGTGCTAATGCAAATATTGGTCTTCTCAACGAAGTTATTTATGCCACAAATTCATAAACCTTTGACCTTGGTCGGTCACCGTCCGGACTCCTCCGACAAATTATGGCTTCGCAGTCGCTTCTCATAACTTTTTGAAGAGTACAAAGAATACCTCTGATCCCATGTTCACTGCAGAATCATGTTAATAAGTCAAGCCTGCAATGTAAAAAAGGATAATACCTAACTTGTTGTCATGGAAGTAGGCGTTTCTGCATTCATGTTAACAGTTTAATATGCGGGCAAAAAAAATTTCTATTTGCGGTTTCTTTACGAACTCTCTCTATATGGCAGACAATGATTTACAGGAATGAAAAAATGACTCTTCATGAAGTGATGGAATTATCAAACAAAATTGAGATTTTTCACAGTACTCTGGAGTATGGGATACTCCTAATGTTTTCGCTGTTAGATGTTTATTTGGAAATACAAAAATTAAAATTTAAAAATTACAACACCTCGGATATTCCATACTCCAAAACATGAAAGAATTTTAGAAGAAGAATGAATTGACAATTTAATATGAACCCATAACATACCAGCAAAGGCAGAGGATGCGTGAGTTACGGTTAGGACAACAGAAAACTTCCAAAGAGTGATTAAAATTAAGAAGTGGAAAAGATGACACATGAAAAGTAATGAGGTGGTCAAATGTCGGTTTGAATTCTACATTACAATATCCAAGATGGGCGATGGGCCAAATATCTAAAGCTTATTTTAGATCTATCAGCAAGCTTGAAGACTTGAAGTGTCACATTTCCTGCGGTTCAGTTGAAAAATCAATTTAACTATTTGTACACATATTAGAGTTTGGTACGTGTTAAAAAAAAACTTTTGTTAACCATTTATAACAATTATAATATTGTTATATAAATTTTTAACCATGTTCTGACTAATTTTGACAAAAATTTTACAAGAGAACAAATATAGTTAGCTTAATTGATGAACACTTTGAAAAAAAGGGAGAGGTGTCTACCAAAGAGCCAAATGTGCTATAGTCTCAAGTCAGAAGAAATATAGAGAGAAAATAAAACTTGAGGGATATAGTGAGTTAAGTGGCAGTTACCGTTCTTGACGTCAATTTAAGAAAGACCTAAAAAAGGATTACATGATTTACTAAGGAACTGAAGGCCCAGTTCTAAGGATTCCTGCTTAAAACTCAAAGGCCTGCAAAGGAAAGCATTTCTAAATGTTGTAGGCCCACTGTCCTGCTAGGATAATTCCAAAGCAAAGTCCCTGTCGGTAAGCACAAATTGCGCACTGACATTAAAAAGATTGGTCCCTGACACACCATTACTAAATGTGTATTGCCCACTAACCGTACGTATTGTCCAAAGAGCCCATAATGTATGTCATGGGCGACATGCTCATGTAACTCATTCACATAAGATGTCTCGGACAAGGAAAGTTGTTCTATGGATCTAGCTTTCAACAACGTAGAACACATTTTTGAGATGTTGAAGGGGTTATCTTCGTTAGTGGTAGAGTAGATTACGTCTTATTTCTTTAGAGTAATTTTATGGTCTACTCATAACGTTAAGGAAAAATTTGTCATATTGAGCATATTATCCACGTGTCATTCTTCTATTGGATTTGGTTAATTTATATCTCCACAAATATAAATTAGAAACACTTCAAAATTGAATTGCACAGGAAAGGTCATTAGTGCAATAACAGTTGGATTCTGAGTTCTTTCTTCATCAAAATGGTGTTTTTTTAAGTATTTTGATTATGGAAATGAGTTTGAGGAGTCTCTTTGCTTTTATGCTTTTAAATGAGTCACTTATGTGTATTCGGCAAAGTGTAGATTGTTGACGTTCTTGACGTTCTAAATCTGTCCATTTGCACCTACTCTCCTTATTTTTATGCTTTGATGCTCCTTTATTTGCTCAATTATCGAAGCACAAAATAAAATGGAGTGCAAATTGATGAAATGAGAGGGCGAAAATCGTTACCTTACTACTGATAGAAAATGAAGTCCTTGAGTACTATTGGCCTAATTTATATTTGACACATGATCTACGATTTTACAAGATACAATTCTACAAGATTATCCAAGTTCACATTAATAGCTTTGGATAATATGAAACTTAAGGCCCGCTAGGTATCCTACAAAGAAAAATTCAACTTTTTTTTTTAAAAAATATTTCTTAAGAACATTCTTGAGAAATTTTTTTAATAACACTTCAAAACTTGTCTAGTATAAATTCAAAATTATTTTAGGCATTCACAATTAAAAAGGAAAAAAGGGCAACCATCAACTCCTTGGTGAGCTGACAGAGGTAAGAGAGAGAAGATAGTGGATCAGAAGAGAGAAGGGATTTGGATTCGCAAAGGATTTGCAGCTCAAGTAATTAGAAACATTCACTCGGACACCAAGGTTCGAGTTCAATCCCCCGTCCCCAATATCGCTTAAAAGTATCCAAAATTTCAAAGCTATAGTTTACAACATAATCTAATAACAAATATAACACACAAGTATTACCCACTGGGAATTGAATGATCCTTAAAACTTTATTCTCTATCATCCTTGTGCTTATTGGGAGGAGTATTATCAAGTCATCAACCTAATCACTGCCATTAACATTTCTAACAAAGTTTTGTTATGTGAAATTTCCCAGTGGATTACAATTAATAGAAAAGAAAAAAAATGTAATACTCTGATGTGCTAATTGAAGGAAGCAGCAACAGGAGGGAAAATTAGCAAAAATATTTTCACCATTTTATGTCTCCAAATCCATCAAGCAGCCATCAAAGAGATTCCCAAGTGAAATTATTAGCATTGCAGAGCAGACCATCCAAGGTGGGAATCAGAATCACTGCAGCAAATTATTTTCGGTGTCTGATTTTTTCTCCGAGCCCGTCTGACATTTCTGTCAGACAAAACATGAGGTTGAAACAGTTTGATGCCGAAGTTTGAGTTCGATGTTATCACTCATTTATGGCTTTTCTTTGATTGTATCCTTTTCGGATGCTCCTGTGTTCGCGTTCCTCAGTGGCATGTCGTGGTTGTGCTTTCCCTCGTACGTTGTGATGAAAGCTTTGGGATCATCCGAGACTCTTTCGACATGCTTACGCACATTGCATTTGAGACTGGTACATCTGTAGTAACTTCTGCAAGATCGAAAAAGTTATGGAGTAAGCACCACCTAGCCACAAAGAACCTTGTGTCCCATTGCAGATGTCATGAATGCAAACAGCAGTTGATGAACAAAGTAATCAACTGAATCTTAACACAATCCATAGAGGTTGGTTATATATTTGATTAGGACCTCATTCTAAAAAGTAATGTCTTGAGTTCATAATACCAGGATAATTCGCTACCTATTTTTTTTAATCAACAAAAATGGGGGATTCAGATTTGAAACCACATCCGACAACACGAAAAAAAAAATCACTAGACCAAGAGCTTGAGGTAGACATATGAGACAGGTGAGCGCGAATGCAAGAGGAATATTAGCCAATTGCTCTAAGAGGTGCGGATACATTTACTAAAAAAAGAAAGAAGAAGAGTTTTTCATTCTTTCTAACCTGGGATATGGATTCCCCTTAACAACCTTCTGCCCGTACTTCCTCCAGCGGAAGCCATCACCCGTCATATCAGATTCAACTGAACTTTGCACCACAACACGGGGATCTTGGACACCTTCCCCTGATATCCCTGCTTCATTGGATTGATTCTCACTTTTTCTGAAAGAAAATCATAGTTAAACATAGTCAATAACATTAACCTTGAACAGAGAGTATTATGATAGAAATGCTCATCAAGAATCAAGATAATTTGATCGCATTTTGATCCAAACGGTCAAGGTCAACCACGGAGAAGGGAAGAGGCAAGAAAATGGATACAAACGGTTTCGCTATCTTAGATCTATCTTGCAAAAGAACTGAGAATTGGATGAAGACCTAAACCATAGAATACAAACTGGATGGATGAAGTGGAAGAGTGCATCGGGTGTGTTGTGTGCCCATTGTATGCGACTAAAGCTTAAGGGAAAATTTTATAGGACGGTAATAAGGCCAGCAATGTTTTATGGCATGGAATGTTGGACGGTCAAGCATCAACATGTACACAAAATGAATGTAGTGGAGATGAGAATGCTTCGTTGGATGTGTGGGCACACGAGAAAGGATAAGATTAGGAACGAGGATATCCGAGGTAAAGATGGAGTAGCTGATATTGAAGATAAGATGAGAGAAAATCAGTTAAGGTGGTTTGGATGTGAAATGAAGACCTACAGACATTCCGGTTAAAAGATGCGATTACGAAACTAAGGCAGGGCCAAAAGTGTAGAGGAAAACCTACGAAGACTTGAAAAGAGACTCTAAGAAAAGACTTGGAGTACTTAGATCTAAGAGAAGACTTGGCACAAAACCAAGCGCAGTGGCGTTCTAGGATTCATACAGCCGACCCCATTTTGTGGGATAGGACTTTGTTGTTGTAGTAAAGTGCACCACGTTTTCAAACTAAAGCTTGAATAGCTAATCCAAATTATAGGATTCTGATTTTCGTTTAATGATACATCTTACCTTCTTTTACTTCTAGGCTCACAATCCTCTGCTTCAAGCCCCTTGCTTCCTTCCTCGCATTCTCCACTAAGACCACAAGAATTATCAGGAGTTGCACCACCACCATTTATTCCTCCACTTGCTAGGGGATCATAAGGTAGTAGAGCTTTGCTTTGGTAAAAATGCACCGGCAGTCCAACTTCATTCTGATCTTCTAATCTAACTTCCGAACCATCATTTCTTTCATTATGATGACTATTACATAACCTGTTGTTGGTATCTTGACCAGTTCCATCAGAGGCTACACCTAACCCTTGCGTTCCTGATGAGCCACGCTTTGGAGGTTGAGGCTTCGAATGGTTGTGTTCACCCTTGTAGACAATCTCAGCAATCTGTCCATCCAGAGATCGTTCTACCTTCTTTTTCACAGGACAATTTGGATGCGTGCATTTATAGTAACTTCGGGGGTACTCGCTTCCCTTGACTTGCTTCTGTCCATATTTTCTCCAATTATACCCATCATAAGAAGGCCTATCAGTATTGGCTGTGGATGGTACAATTTTTGGATCCTCTTCCATGTTTTGTGAGGCTATTTTCGGAGGCTCTGTTGTCTGATTTGTCTCGGCACATGATGGATTATTATGGCGCAGAATTACACTTTGAGATCTAAAGCTTTTATCTTGATTTGGACGTAGAACATCCGCATTAACTGATGATCGTGTAGATTGGTGGCAGGTATTGAAGTTTCCCTGGTAAGAATGAACAAAAAGGAATTTTAGTTTCAAAATTCGAGTTCAAAAGTTTCACCACATTTTCGGAAGCCCATGTCTTTACACGTTTATTCAGTATTCCAAAGATAGTACTGAGGAAACACATACATGTAACTAGAAAAAGATATGTTCGATTAAATTGCAAACACACAATATCTAGCTACTGACCATATTTGCCAAGACAGAAACGGTTGCCCTTGAAACAACTTTCGCCAATGGTTTATATACCACAGTTGATCTGCTATCTGGTTTCGAAACCTTCCCCGATGAATGTCTATGTGCTGCACCAGAGATATCCACCTGAAATGTTTTCACACATACAGTCAGAGCTAAAGAACTTTTCAAAAGAAACAATCATTTTTAGTAGAATTAAGATCACCTGGGAAGAAACTAATCCATCGACAGCATGATTCACCAATGGCTTGAACCTCACGGTCTTTGGTCTGATGGCAGGAACAGCAGTTTCAGAAGATACATTAGAGGGAGAGGCATCAATAGCTCCTGCAAGAAGCTCTGTGAAGGACCTAAAGGTGGAACATGTAGGCCTTGAAGCAACTGGTTTAGCTATAACTACACGCTCTGCTTCCTTAATATCCATTTTTTCCAATGATTATGTTATGTTCCAACTAGATATTTTTTATGTGAGACGTACTAGCATGAGCTAAACGAAACAAGGAAGCCCCATCATCTTACGCCTGGAATACTCTATATCTTTCTCCCGAAGGCAATAGAAAGAATAGTAATTAACCGACACTTGAAGAGCTGCTACTGCCCATGTTGGCACAAGATGTGCAAAGTTCAATCAACTTGAAACCTGCATGAGACCGGGATTATATAGAAATACTAAGATAAATAACAAAGTAACAACACGAAGAGTCAAAGGAGTTTTCAGGAGTATATCATTCTACTAAATCACAGACATTGAAAGGTAAAACCTTGGCTTAATGCATTTATTATCAAGCAAGACAGAGCATTTGGGATTTGGATTTGGGGAATTGGGAAATAATTGCAGAAGAATCCCTGTACTCTCAGATTGTCATTGCCATTTCAATGTAATGCATGATTTGAGTAGGAAAGGGAATCATACAGATTTCAATTTTCCTAACAAATGTGTTCATTAACTGACCGGGATTAGGAATTCTTTCCATCAACGTAGTGATATAACCGACCAGGATTGCCCACTGAAGTCGAGGAACAACCGTACAATCTAGTCCACTTATAACTTATCAAAAACAGATTATGCGCTAACAAACAACCTGCTAGAACACGAAAGCATTCAGATCATAGAAAAAAAACAAACAGCGAAGACGGAACACTGACTAGAATTGGCAATACCGAATACAGCTTCTGAATACTAGGGTCTCTGACATGTCATTTTCATGTTTTCTATGGCCACGGTTGAAAACATAATGTATTTGATTTCGTAACAATCGTTGTTTGAAACTGTTTTTTCACTATCCATGAAACAGTTTATCAAAAGATAAGCATATTATCCAAGTTCACATCTTCCTCTTCGAACTAACAAGATCGGTAATATCTCAACTAACCACTTGATTTTATATACGAAATCTCTTGAACTCGACATTAAAACTTGAAGCAATTATAATCCTCTCTCTTCAAAGATCGTATATTGAACCACACATATCAAACCATGACATGTACATATCAAACCATGACATGTTCAGTACCCTACTGTGACAAGGGCAACCATATGTGGACAAGATTGTAATCTTACTGTCCTAATCATAGAACTTTTCCACAAATCAGAAATAATTTCTTTCTTTCTTTCCAAGAGAAAGTTGAATGAATTAAAAACATCAAAACAAAAATAAATCTAATAAATACATGCATCAAATTCTCCAAATTATCAATGAAATTGCAGAAACACAGAATCGAAAACCAACATATTTTCTTCCAACAAACATAAAAAAATAAATAAATAAATAAAAACAAGAAATTAATCACAATATAAAAAGTTTAAGTCAGAGATTTTGAAGAAAATAGATTAGCACAGACCTTCAGAGGTAAGGTATAAGTAAAATTGAAAAAATTAAGAACCAGTCAATAAATTCCAGAAACTCTTAAGAACTAAAACACTTTGCAGAACAAAAACGGAAGTAGCAACTGACCTGAATGGCTTCAACTCACAAACCCAGAAATCTGTTGGGTCCACTGAATCTTAAATAAGCTAAGTTTTTAACACTTGGCTCAGCCTGCATTGCACAACCACCAAATTTGTAAGAAAAGAAAAGAAAACAAATAAAAAATTCAGCTCCAAAAATAGAAAAATTAAAAATATTTATTAAAAAAAAAGGTGAGCTCGAAAAATAGAAAAATTAAAATTATTTATAAAAAACGTGACGTAAAAACCAGAGCTTTTACCTTGGAGAATGGAGATCGAGATCGGGAGAGAGAGACAGAGAAAGCAGAAACAGCTTATGAAAACAAAAATCAGGATAAATCCTGCAAAACGAGTATAGGGTTTGTCTTTTTAGAAGCCAAGTACGTACGACTGCTGCATATGCACCAAAACGCAGCGTTTTCAGTGGTCCTGGTCTTCCCAAGAGTTTTTTGAGCAGTGGTATGGAGAAAGAAGGAGAGAGAGACTTCTGCAACAAAATTCCACCACTTTGACACGAAAAATGAAAAATGAGGAATAACCCAATAGTTTTTTCACCTATTTTTTAATATTTCTGTAATAAAGTTTGAGTCTTTGGGTGTCAAAATCTGGTATTTAGCAAATGCAAAAATGGGTACTGTGAACAAAAATGAAAACTGAAAATTGGATTTTTTTTTTTTCTAATTTATTTGTTTTATTTTTGTAGGACTCAAAAATATGAGTGAGGGAGCATTGTTGTTGTTGGGTTGAAGAAGAAGCCCTAGAGGGAGGTACGTCCAACTAACCGTCTCTCTTTCTCTTTGACTCTCTGATACCTTCATATATGTATAGTATAGTATAGGTTTTTTTTTTTGGGGGGGGGGGGGGGGACCTGTAATGATATCGAAATTACAATGCACTTGGAGCCCACTGTGATAATCCAATGCTGTCAGCTACTTGGGAAACTGTCATCTACTATGACACGTGGCAATGTTGGATTTGCTGGGTTCCTAGTAAAGTTTGGGGTCCTATATGGTGCTACTGATTAGTGAGTCAAAAAGACATGATTAGCCATGGATGTTGAATATGGATGAGGGGAAATGGTAGGATGAAAGGGTAATTTTGAAAGATTTGTTCTGATTACAACCTCTTTATTGTTTAGGCATCAACTAATACGAAATGCCACCAAGTAAGATTAAAAAGGGGCTTAATTGTAGCAATAGTCTATGAACTTTAATTTTAATTTAGTTTTAGTTCCTAAACTCTCATTTGAATTTTTTTTAATCCTTTAACATAACAATGTGTTGTACCATATCATTGGTCTTTTTCACTAATGTTGTCTATTTTTCTTTAAATTTAGGAGTATATTAGGAACAATTTAAAATGAGAAATGAGAGAGAAAAAATATCTAAAACAATCAGTTTTTTTGTGTAAAAAAATTGAATACATAGGAATCTTTTTCTAGTTAAATATGTCATTTGTTAGGTTGTTTAAATCCAACTACAGTTCGATCTCTTATCAACTTTGAAATCACATTGCCTAATATTTACAAGTTGCTAAAGTTCAACCATTTTCATTTTGTATTTTATAGCATAAATTTCATTTGTTTTAAGTTTTAGATATTAATTTATAAATTTTCATTTTTTTTAGCTTCTTCTATTGTTTTTTGAAGTTTTAAGATGAAGTTCCTAATATACCCCTAGATTTAATGGGGAAAAAAGACGGCGTTAGTTAAAAGGATCGATGTTGCATCACATTGTGAAGTTCGAAGACAAAAGAAGCTAATTATGAGAATTAAGGGACTAAAATTAAATTAGGGTAAAATACAAGGATCACTGCTACAATTAAGCTTTAAAAATGGATTGATTAATTACCATGTTCTGTATTTCCCTATATTAAGATTATTCGACCCAAACATAAGGATTTCTTCGGTGCTCAAGAGAACCAGTATTTTGGGTGTTTTAACTACTAAATTTTTGTATAAAAACACAAAACATCACAATCTAACAATTAAAACATCAAGAATACTGGATAAGAGCATCCAAGAATTTTTGCCCGACCATATATATGGAAAGTGGGAGATAGTTAGGTTTGGGTAGGAAAATCATAAGGGGAGAGTTAGGTGAGCCATAGATGGGTGTGACAAGTAGAGATATTTTAGAGTGGATCAGAAGACGTTGATCTCAAAAACATTATCCCTAAGGCCGTGGAACAGAGAAATCATGAATCAAAGACAAGGAAAGTTATGAATTTATTTTTATTTTTCAATTATTACATTATAAAATTTAATGTGGAAGTCTAAAATATCGATAATATCGACGAAATATCGAGGATTTTCGGTTTTTTCGAATCACGGATATTTCGGAACATACACAGAGGGGATTTGAACCCCTCCCATTTTACTCCTCCAACACCGTAACCACCATATATCACTTATGTTTTAGTGATAATATGCTAAAATATTTATATTTATATGAGTGGCATGTTAACAATTACATGCAAAACTATTTTGGGGATTTATCATTTGATGAATACTCTTCACAATAAACTTACTATACATATAGAGATGATGAAAATAGTGAAAATTTTGAACGTCATAGGAACTTTATGTGGTACTAAATCACTCATGTATCTTACTATGCAATGTATAAAGTGTAAAATATTATAGTAAATCATTATATATAAATTATGGTGTGTTTAATCTTTTTTTCATTAATTACTACATATTTTCTACATTCACAGTGTTTGTCAGCTCGCTGTATAATCAACTTAAATCAGTTAAATCCATCATGTAATGCATTTCCTTCTAATTTTTTTTTTTATAAACTAATAGATAATTGACTAAATAAACATTCTCCAAAGTTTCAATAAAAATTTCCAAGTTTTTCTTACAATTTCCATGGTTTTTATTCAATTTTTATCGATATCGATAATATCCCGATATTTCTATCAAAATTTCCATGTTTTTGGACTACCGATATTTCCGATATCATCGATATTTTATACCATGTTTGGAACTAACTTTTTTTTTCTTTTTTCTTTTTCTCTCTCTCTCTGTATGTGCTAACAAACACAAGGAAGTTATGAATTAGACTAATTATTATACTTATGTTTTACCAACTAATACTACGATATAATAGTATTTTTCTTCACTTGTAAGTAAGAGATTTCATGTTTCACCACGTTGATGGCGAGAACATATAATATTTAGGGAAAATTAGAATCCCCTATGGTTTTTTATATCATCTAGATTAAACATCTATTCCTTTTTAAAATTTGATTAAAGTGCTTTGACCGATAGTCACCTCTATTTTTTAAAATTAAAATAATTTTTGAATTTATCATTTTATCTGCATAGAGGTCGCACTTGGTGCGATGGCAAGTGCCTTCGCCCATGAGCGGTAGGTCTCGGGTTCGAGACTTGGGAGCAGCCTCTCCATAAATGGGGGTAAGGTTAGCCGACATTCACCTCTCCCAGACCCTGCGTAAAGCGGGAGCCTTGTGCACTGGGTACGACCTTTTTTATCATTTTATCTGCATGATGCACTTTTCCTTATTTAGTGGAGATATTAGTAATTAAACTATATTTTCTCTTCTTCCAAATATGTTTTTTCAATCACAAATTTTTTTTTTGTTATGCAAACATTTAATATTATTTCTTTTTCCAAATGGTTTTTTCTTTTTCAAATAGTTGGTGATCAACATAAAAGCTCCATGTAATTTTTTCAATTTTTTTGTGAAGTTATATATATATACACACACACACACACACACACACACACACACATATATATATTTAAGTATAGTTGTTGAAGAATTATTATTAGGTACAATATATTACATATATATTATTTGCGGGTACATTTGAATTTACAAAAATCATTAATTGGTACACTTTTTTGTAATTTTGGTACGTTTGATTTGATACATATTGTTTGACACATCCCGACCTAAATCGAGGCATGTTGACCGTCACGTGAGGGTGATGTAGCCATGTGCACAGTGCGGAAGCAATATTGATATAAGGAATGTGAATAAATAAAAACCAAACCAACTAGAGCACTAGGTAAGATAAGGTGCAAGTGCGATATTAAGTGTGATTGCACAACCAGAGCATAAGTGGCCTAAATGCAATCCAACAGGACGAATACTAATTATACAACACCCAAAGGTGATCCTACATTGGTGATAATCTGTCAAAACTGCCGTGAGTTCCTCTTGAGCCGCCAGCAAGCACTTCTACCTAAAACCTGAAATGGCGCAAAACAGAAAGTGTGAGTGGGTAAAAACAAAGCTTTTCAAAACCATTTCATTTATCAAAAGTTCTAACTCATCGCCATAAAACCAGTATAATTTCCCAGAAAATAGAATATATTCATATTTATATCAAAATCATACTCAGAATAGCGATAAACATATGTATGCCATACCAAATATCTCAAAATAACTGAATAAGTAACTCAGGTGAATTAACTCATGAGAAATAATATATCAGTCGGATCCACCTAAAGTGGCATGTACGGCTGAATCTATAGCTCAACAAGTATGCATGCACATGAGTCGGAACCACCAAAAGTGGTCTGTACGACAGGACTGAGTGTAAATAAATACGCTCTAGTGCTACGATCACATGAAGACTGTGCGAATAATCGCGGATCACCTATGAGTCGGAACCACCAAAAGTGGTCTGTACGACAGGACTGAGTGTAAATAAATACGCTATAGTGCTACGATCACATGAAGACTGTGCGAATAATCGTGGATCACCTATGAGTCGAAATCACCTAAAGTGGTCTGTACGACAGGACTGTGCACCTAACTTGGATCCAAGGTGAGTGTATGGTGCGGGAGGTGAACATCACGTGAAGGACTGTGCCCTAACCACGGGCGGGAACACTAACACCGAGGTGCAGGTTTATGAGCTTTCAACACATCTCACATAATCAACAATTCACAATAACAATCTACAACTCACCTGGTACTTACCTGAGCGTCCACCACATCAAATCACGTATGTACATACCATACAAATTCATAGTCTAAGCATAAATCAATAAGCATGGCATTTCAAAACATAATTTCATTTAAACACATTTTCTGGGAAAAATACCAAGTATATAAGTATATACTGAAAACCAAAAGCCCACTTATTGATATGTGGAAGGGTCATAACCCCCAAGTCTTGCTTGATTACGCTCGTCTTCTAGATAGATCTCACCTATATGCGAAACAACTATATAAATTTTATTTTAAAGCACATAACCAAAACTAAGTTATAACTTCTCATACATTGCTCAATTGAGGTGTTTAAATATACCAACGTGATCTACTCAACCCCACAAAGATCCCCATATTTTTATAAAAAAAATTTCGATGTCCCACGCGCCCACACGCGCCGGCCAAGGCACCGCCAGACGCGCTGCCCACATGCTTGGCACACTGACAGATTCCCTAACGGCGTTAGGGAATATTCCGTTAAATAAAAGCATATGTCGTTAAAGATACCTGACGCCGTTAGAATATTCCGTCAAAGTTGATGGAATATTCTCCTTCTTCTCCGGCGAGTCACTGGATTTCGTCGCCATCGCCGTCTGCTATTGCTGGTTTTTGGAAAAAACTTAGAACTTCAATATCTCATCCATTTCTCAACCAAAATCCATGAAATTTTCACCAAAATGAAGCTTAGGATGAGAGGAACAAATCCTTACCACTTTTAGGTCCTAAATCGAACGAAATCTTGTCGGAAAAATTCGAGGAAACCGGCCAACCCTGCAACTATATA